GTATCCGGGAGCTGGGATTCGAGGCTCAGTGACGGGTCGAGATCCAAGATTTTTGGATCTTTTTCGTCCCGCTGCATGCAGTGTATAACCTGTTCCCTTGCCAGCCCCGCGCCAAGCATTTTGAAATATTTCCCGTACTCCGGGTCGTCTCTCAGCGGAACCTCCTTTGCGCTCTCGTCTTCTTCTATCCTCTTTCGTTCGGCTTCCTGCTCCGCTGCCTTTTCCTTTTCGCGCGACATTCTCTTCTCTTTTGACTTCTTGAGCTTTTCTTCGGCTTCTGCCTTTTGTGCATCTTGCCACTCCTTCTCTTTCCTCTTCTTTTCTTCGCGGTTCATTGTTGAATCCCCTCGCAGTTCTTCCGAATCTTTCATCTCTGCGTTCTCGATAGGATCAGGATCTGGCGGTAAGTCCGRTTCGTCTGCGGTGACGGTGGACCCCCATTGTTTGGACACTCGTTCCAGTTCTACGAGCATGTCCACTGTCACTCCCGTGTGGCGTATTTTCGAGTGGATTTCCCTCGCAGCTTCGAGCCCTAGATCGTATGTGGGGACCTTGCGATCGCGCACCACATCGTTCAATCGATCYCTGTCGCGAATGTGATCACTAGGTGGCGGCAAGAGCTTTGGTTTGTCGCTGGAAAARTATGGCAGCCTGGGCTTCGGATTCGATACCTTWAGCTCGGCCTGCGACTGCAAGATCGATAGGGGACTCCCAGGATTTTCTTCTCGCTCGGATTTACCATGCAGCTGAAATGACCGAGAAATATCTCCCCGATAGGGATAGAGTATGGAAGGAACCAAATAGCCTGTCTCTTTGACACAGAGACCGCTCAAAGATTGCTGGCAACCGCCATTCAAGTCCCGGTGTTCTTGCGACGACATCCGGGATGAAASYGGGCAAGATTCTTCTCTCGACTGTTCCTCTCGGAAGGTTTGCAGATACTTTTGATCGGTAAGATCCAAATTCGAGCTCACATCGATAGAATCCAGAATGTCTAGCACGCTTTGCGTCGCTTTGTCTTCTATYTCTTGGTATGTTTTCTTCGAGCCATCCCCGAMGTTGATGGTTGCGTCGATTTYGACCTTCCGGTCGCATTTTTCCTCCTCATCTTTGTCGTTCATATCTGTGTCTCGTTCGTTGTCGGACGACGATCGAGCCTCGGAAGAAGTCGTGTCGTCTTGCCACCAAGAAAAGACGGGGGATTTCCAGAGAAGGGCAGCGGTCCGGTGAAAATCAAAGTTGGTCAGTTGCAGGGCCAATACTACCAGGTGGTCTGGGCAATAATCTACGCCCGGTGAATCTCCACAAAAGTTCCGAAAAGAGGCGACRTCGRCCGTACTGGGACGGGCAGAATGGTTTTCGAAAACGACTTTCCAACCCTCGTCGCGGGCTTCCTCTTCGTGGGATCTCCATATTCGCTTGCTGCAGACCTCGCTGGCAGACCTGAGTCGCTCCCTCGATCCCGCTGGTAGGGCAGTGTCCCCGGTACCCTCCCCTTCTTCGGTCCGCTCCCAGTCGGCTTCAAGTATGAGGGTGACTAGAAAGTCCTCGTCGTCGAGGTGATCGGCGTACTGTCGTGTCAGATCGACTTTCTGTGGAGGCAACTCGTACAGGCACCCCCCGCTCATGAACCCGGTTGTGTTCGTATACCGGAACAAGATCTTGCTGGGATCGTGAACCCTTCGCTCGCTGGACAAACGAGCCGGGTCCCCACCAAATCGGCATAGCACCAAGAATTCTCCGTCGAGAACGACGTTGATCCGGTAAAACCCTTCCTCATCGATCCACTGCGAAACCGGTTTSGAGTGGTTGGCGTTGGCGAGGGCACTCGTGCCTGCTGAAATCGGATAGTGAGAAGAATACACGTGCCGCTGGGAAGAGTCCCAGACATCCACACAGGGCTGCTCTTCCACCGGAATGCCCTGCAGCGTGATTGCCCTCAGCAACAAGGGTTTCCGGTTCAAGAAGCCACCYAATTGCAAGACCCGGTCGAACTGCCGAAAGAAAAGTTTCAGCGAGGGCGGAATCTGCTCGATGATGCTGTCAACGATGGCTTGGTGGCGACCGATTTCTTCCGGGCTCTCGCCGACACCGTTGTCGSCGTAGTCTCCGTCGTCGTAGTCGTCCATCACGGCGTCCATGGCGGCCGCCAGGATTGGTCCCATCATTCTGCGTCGTTCCTTTTCGCGCTCCAGCAGCAGTTTTCGCTGTTTTCGCAGCGTGACCAGGAAGTGCCGAAAGCCGTCTTCCGTTCGCTCGACCATGTTGGCGAACCTGAGATAGCAGGCGGCTGCAATGGCGGTTCGGGTTTTGCCGTTGTCGCAGTAGGTCAGGACCACGTTGCTCGGGTCGAGCGCCAAAAAGGCGTGGATTGCGTAGCAAATTTTCAGGACGTGAGGGATGGACGGGGTTTCCGASCGTTCCACGCAGCAAGGGGACCATCGCGAGTTCGGATTGCCACTGCTTCCGTCRATGCCCATGGGCACGATCTGTCGCCGGAATAAGAGCAAGGTCCGGTCGTCCGGTTTTTCCTTCGCAAGGGATACCGCGAGATAGTGGTCCCGGCCGTGTGCCTTATCAAGATAGGTAACCATATTGCCGGGTGAGTTGATCATGGTTGCAGGCGCTTTGGTGGGTGAAGATGACAAGGCGGGACGGGGTGGAGAAGAGATTGACTGYGATTGTATTTCGTCCTTCTCCTCGTGAGTGGAGTGGAAACTTTCGTCATCGAAGGTATGATAGGAAGCATCGTCTACTTTCACCGGAGATTTTGCACCMGGTGAAACTGGTGCTGGAAGCGGTTTGTCTGYTTCTTGGGCCATCGATAGCGGTGGAAACGAGGTCAGCGGGGGCACCGAGAGACGCTTCTCGATGCCCGCGCTTTCCTCCAAATCCTTGAGTGCGTGCGTGGCAGTGGATACATTTTTTGTGAGTGGCGTCGGAGGCTGTTCTTGTTGAGGTTGCTGCTGTTGCTCCATCGGGGTTGCGATGCTATCGTCGTAAAAAGAAGAATTYCCATCGGCGTAAGAGATGTCGGTAGATTGTACGGCGTCCGAAAAGATGTCTTCCTCATCGTGGCTTTCGTTGGCAATGTCCCCCCCGTCGTCTCGGGGTTTTATTTTGATGCCCMCTTCTCCTTCCGGCGCAGAATCCGCCGCCGGCACTTCTGCCCCACCGTCCTGCGGATTTTCGGACACCGCCAGAACGTCTCGTCCTTTTTCGCTTTCGGCGCTTYGGTCCTCTTCGTCGACTTCGATAACTTCCGAAATGGAATATTCCGAGTGAGACTGAGATATATTCAAGAGTTCTGTCGATAGTTCATCACCGCTCTCGTCGCTCGCTTTGTTTTCAAGCGCCGGATTCCTTCCCACCCCCGGTCGTTTAGGACTCCGCCTCTGGTGGTTTTGTTTTTCTTGGATTGCTTGCTTGTCGTTGCAGTTGTCGTTGTCGGCCTCGCGACCGTTCTTTTTCTCGGCCTGCTTCGTTCGTTCCCTAGCCGATGCATCCCGACCCTCGTCCGAAAACGTTGGGGCCCCCCCGTTGCTGCTTCCGGCGGCGGGCTTGCTGGACACCAGGAACCGGTCCGTCAGATACACCAGGTCCGTGTTGGAAGGCGGGCGGGGCCTGCGGCGCCGCTTTCGTTGTTTTTGTTGCTGCTGCTGTTCWTGCCAGCGTTCCTTCCATTCCTCCCCTTTTCGTTCCAGCTTGGGAACGATATTGTCCCGGAGTTCTCGTTCCAGCCTCGGTAGAACATTCTCTCGGACCCGGTGGACCGTCTGGCGGCCCAGGGTCGATGCCGAGGCTCCCAGGCCATGGAGGAGATGGTCCATTTTCAAAACCGTTCCAGTGTGACTCCTCGATTGTTTTTGTTTCCTTTCAGCTRTTGTCGCTTCTGTCGGTGAAACCAAATCGCAAACTCCTGTTCGGTACTATGTAATTCTTCGAACCGAGAGCGCGGATCGACTTTGTTCCCGGCTAGAGACCAACGAACAGCTTCCGTTTCCAAGTCGTGTCGTGCCGCGTCGTGTCGTGTCGTTTCGTGCCGTGCCGTGCCGTCTCGTCCCTTGGCTGGCCGGGCTACGAACAAATCAGTCGATGGATCCGTGCTTCCTCCTTCGTCATCACTGTGCAATTGGTCGTGTATTGTTCGTCCGGAAAAATCTTAGAGGGCGGGGACCCTTTCTCCGGCTGTTCGATGGCTTCCGCAAGGATTGAATCCGAATGTTCTCGTTGCAACGACAGAGAAGCAACCAGACTTTTTTGAAATTTGGTTCACTCCCCGGGGTGCGCTGAGAGACCCTTCCTGTGTGCACTTCCTGCTCCGACTCCTCATTTTTTAGCGGAGCTGGGTTGTCGCAGTAGCAGGGGGTGCGCGACGGGGGAGACAAGAAATTACAAAAAAGTACAGAGTTTTTGTTTGGGAAAATAGACACTAAGTTATTCCCAAAAGATGCTTCGAATCGGAGCGAAAAAGTGTTGAAATGAAGTAAGCTRCTCATGCTTCTACTTAATAAAGTGACAGCTACTATAACWAMWAGTARYAMYAMTRAWG